AATATTCAAACATTTGATATAACTTGATGTAACTTGAATACTGCCCTTGTTGTCTAATTACTGTTATGATGAGCATTTTCCTTTTTCCCTTTTTTTTTGTTCTTTTTCCAAACATTTTTTTTTTATTTTTCAAAATAAAGATTTTCATGAAATTTCATTTGATAACAAAGTGATGACACTGTTCATAACTAGTATCTGGTTGTTAAGCCTGACATCGCGTCACGTGTCTCGGTTTCGGGGTCCAAACACTATCAGAACCCATAAGTATACAACCAACAGTGCTAATATACACTCTTCTGTAGTACTACCAAAAATAAAAAAAGTCCTAACTCAGTGGTGATGTCCAAGACACCGTCAGTCCAGAGACTGTAGAGTACACTGTGAGCGTATAATGCTCAATGGCTGTTGAGGTAGTATTCTCACTTGAAACAGAGTAGAAGCTCGGAACCAGAAACAGTATTCGTTTCATCACAACTCAACAAGTGGATAATGGGTTATGTGTTCTTCTACTCACCATTGACATTCTGCGTCCAGTGGCAGGAGGTGGTGTCATAGCTGGACTCTCCCCTTGAGCTATACGGTTGGCCTCTGTGTCTGATCCACATTTGGAGGTTGGACTTTCGGATGGGCTCTCGGAAAGCCCTCGCGACATGAAGCTGGCTTTCCTGGCAGTGGAGTAGTTCCCGCTCTCCTGGGAATCGCTCTCCTCACTGAAGTCTTTACATTGACTGACTCTGCTCTGTTTCTGTAACGCTGCTGGTATCTCTATGTTACTGGCTCTGAGTGAAGCTCTGGGCTGCTGACCGAAGTTTTTGGGTGGTCCAGAGCCCTTGGGCCCAGACTCCTCGCTGCTGCAGGAGTGCGGACGGTTGTCTAAAGTGGATCGTCGTTCTGTGGCTCCCAGCTGTTGGAGAGACTGAAATTTAGGCTGGCTAGGAAGACGGTTCTGCCTGGGGGGCTGCTCAGATCCATTAGGGTCGCTGTTTGGCACCTCTTGGCTAGATGGAGGACCAGCCATTGGCATATAGAGAGGCATAGGTGCCATTTGTCCATCGGGCACCACCATAAGGGAAGTGTGTGTCAAATGCATATGTTTTTGTGGTGAGGAATTGGTAAGGATGCATACTTGTTGGACCATGGAGTTTTTCTTTGACCTGCAAATACTTTCGTCATCTCCACTGTACTTGGATCCATATATGGTCTCCTTGATGTTTTTCACACCAAGGTGGAATATCTCTAGGAGATTGAGGAACAGGGACGACCCTGCAATGACTAGCATGAAAATCATGAAGATGTTCTTCTCTGTTGGCCGTGAAACGAAGCAGTCCACGCTGTTGGGGCAGGGGTCATGCTCGCACTTGTATAACGGTGACAGTCCGATACCGTAGAGCTTGTATTGCCCCACTATGAATCCCACTTCCACTACTGACCTTGTTATGATATGCAACACATATGTACGCAGCAAGGAACCCCTCAGAGGAGCCTTCCTCACTTTCTTCTGCTCTTCCAGCTTCCTAAGCTCCTTCTCAATTCTTTTGTGCTCCTCCAAAGCCTCCGTTTCCTCCAGCTCCACTTTCAGGTGAGCTTTTTTCTTGTGGCGCTCCTTCTCCAGTGCTCGGAGCCGGTACAGTGCGTGTCCCATGTACACCAAAGATGGTGAGGAAACAAAGATGATCTGTAAGACCCAGTATCGGATGAGGGATATGGGGAACGCTTGGTCATAGCAGACGTTCTTGCATCCAGGCTGCTCTGTGTTGCACACAAACTCACTTTGCTCATCGTCCCACACATCTTCGGCGGCAACCCCGAGCACGAGCATACGGAAAATGAAAAGAATGGTGAGCCAGATTTTGCCCACAATGGTGGAGTGAATGTGAACCTCCTCCAAGATACTCCCTAGCAAGTTCCAATCTCCCATTTTCGCATGGCCTAAAACTGGAAGAGTGAAGGTTATAAATCTCTGGGACAAAAACGAGAGATATATGGATAGATAGACAGACAGACAGACAGACAGACAGGCAGACTAGGTCACATAACAATGTTAGATTAACTACGTCCAACTATAAAGGGACACTTACGTTTTTGTGGTATTCACAGAACACTTGCTGCATCAGTCCATCACACTAAAACAATATCATACAACTCCAGTATTCTTTCCCCCTCGTGGGAGTATTCAGTACTCCTCTGTGAACATTGCTTTGTTGAATGAAGTCCAGTTTCTCTGTGCATTGAACTCATACAATGCTGCTATCGATCTGTAGGCTAGACGGTACCCTGAGGGGGTGACTTGCATCACAACTGTTGAGGGCGGGTTAGGGGAACATATTAGCAGCAATCCCAAAATACCCCATGGCCTGCGTGGAAATGTGCCAGAGCATGTTTAATTAATAACATTTATAATACTCCTACTACTTTTGTAGTATAAAGTATGTGTACAGCAACCAGTAAGCAATTTGTTCTGTATGCACAGCGCACAGATGGACTATATAGCCTAAATGTGCAGTATACAGCAAAGCATGGAATACTGTGTAATACAACACAGTATTTGACTCGACCTTCCATTTCCAGTGTGATGAGTGAACTGGAAATAATTACAGCTGCAATTTTTGATTCATTTTAGCAGACTACCAAAATTTTTACACTTGCGCAAAATTGCGCTCACATTATTTGTGATGAGGTCATGTGAAAATAATGTAGCATACTGCTTCTTGAAACATTTATTGTTGCATAATACACCGTTTCACTCATTTAAAAAAAATAGTATGCTCTGTGCAATTGTGTATTATTAGTATTATGTAGTATACTATAATAGTGTATAATGTAGTATTTAGTAAGCAATAAGTCAGTATTCCACTAATACAGCACTTGTGTCTAGGCCAGACATGATGATCAATGAGACATGTCCGATTTCATAGTCAAACGCACGCTTGAAGGGCTATTTTTAGCTTTTCTGTAGTCTGAGGGTGATGTAATGAGACAGAAGCTGAAAAGCACCTTCAGGAATGTGAGCCAGCTGTTAATAGCTTAGTACAGATAGATATGTAATTAACTGTGGAGTTTAACAGTTGAACACTGGTCAGCTTCACGTAACAAATTACACTTCACTAGGCACAATGTTGAGATTTAATTAAAGCCTGCCACTTAAGCTCATTTACTTACAGTATATGTTTACATTTTCTTTTTTACATATAGGAAATATTATAAAGTGTTTATATACAAGAATTTTAGCTCTATGTAATTTGAGTCAAGAAATGATCACATATCATTTTAGAAATGCCAAAAACTAAATGAACTTTTCTATATTTATTTAAAACTTTTATAAATATATTTTTGTACTGGCACACTCATGTCTCACAGGTTACATGAGTGTGGACAGAAGTTAAATCTGGATTTCAGAGGTGAAGTAAGGTTAACAACTGCCAGACTGTGACCTAAATATCCCACTTGTGCCAGGACCATAGAATTGTCAATGAGCTGTGAATTGTTCAGTAACTGCATTTATTTGCTACAAACTACAATAGTAAGCCTAAACATTATGGTGATACACTCTTAAAAATATAGGTGCTTCATGATGCCATAGAAGAACCTTTTTGTCTAAATGGTTCCATAGAGAACCTTCAACATCTGAAGAACCTTTCTGTTTCACAAAAGGTTCTTTGTGGCGAAAGAAGGTTCTTCAGATTATAAAAAGGTAAGAAAGAGATGGTTCTTTAAAGAACCTTTGACTGAATGGTTCGTTGTGGAACCAAAAATGGTTCTTCTATGGCATCGCTCGAAGAACCTTTTGAAGCACCTTTATTTTTAAGAGTGTAGGTTATTTAGGGGACGTGACTTCAAACATCCACTAAAATCATCAAACACCAGTTGGTTAATATTAATTGAAAAAAAAAGTAAAGTCAAACATCATTTGTTTGCCCTTTTTTTTCTTATATTAAAAATCAATATTTTTTAAATGCTTCCCAATACTGTTTGGTTCCACAAACTAGCCTCTATTAAATCCTGTGATATAAAAAAAAAATATTTTGAACTGACTAATCCAAAATAAGCGCTACAAATCATTGAGAAAGTTTATGCATTTGAGAATGCAGTTTAGAAACTGAAATATCCATCTCAAAATGAATATGCTATTTAAATAAATAAGCTTTATTTCAGAAGATTGAGAGGTCTGTCAGAAGTTACAAATATTTACAAAATGTATTTCCAAACAACATACAATGTATTTTTCCCACATCTAAGTTTCTCTCTTTGAGAAAAATAAAATTTGTTTAAAAAAATCTTTGTTCAATTCCACTTTACAAATATATACAGTAAGGGAACAATCCCCTTACTCATTACCTATAAAACAACAAAAACGTGTTACTCTTAATATGAAAATATCAAATTGCATCTATGAGAATGACTAATGGAAAAATATTTTAAACTCAAATTCTGACAATTGTGCAGCAAACAAACAAATAAGTATCCTTTCCATCTCTCCATTTACAGCCATGTTATTCCAACACCAACCTCATTCACAAAACAAAAGGGGAAAAAATTAAGTGATCTAAACATGAGGCCTATTAGCAGATAAGCATTTAGGTCAAAGATTTAAAAGCATTTGTAGTCTTCAGAGGTAGGTTTCAAAGGCATTGCAAATGCTGCAAGTCAACTTGTAATACAAGTTAGTGATGTCCTTCAAATACTTAATTTGTTTGTTCATTTCATTGCATAAAAATCTTGTCAGCATCAACAAAACCAACTGCAGTACATTTTGCAATCACCGACTTGCCAAAATAAGTAAATTTTATGCACTGAAAATACTATGAACCGTCATTTATCTACTTCGTTATGTATGTTTATGTCCTTGACAGGGATTGTAAAATTCAGAGCATACCACATTGCAAATGTTTCTCTATGTAATAAAATTGTAGCCTAATTGGTGTCTGCTCTTTAGCAATTATACATTTTGGTAATTTGATAACACTGAATTTTAACTAAAGAAGAAAAATAAGCCTCTAAAACAGGTTATACCATTTACTGCAGTTCTATCTTTTGGTAAGTTACAACTCTAAGTGCTTTTTTCGATAGATTTTGATATGTGCATTAGCATCCACTGCCAGTTCTGTCATGTTGTTCAATTCTCCATTTTCTCTTTCTTCTTGAACAGCTTCATCAGTTGAGAGAATCGCTCCTCGATCTGTCAAATAACAGCAATAATTAGTTTACAACAAAGCTGTTTGCTTACTTCATATTTAAAAGAACACAATAATGAAGCATACCTGCTCTGTTGACTTCTTTAACCTTTTTGACAGAGCAGCAAATGTCTTGGGTGAAGTGCCCTTCATTTTAAGCTCAATGAGTATGTCCCGATCTTCATCCCTTTAAAATACATTAGCTTTTTAATTGGTTGCCTTGATTTAATGTGTATTTTTGTACTCAGTTATGCACATTGAATTTCCACTCCTGTTTTGGTATTAATTTTGTCAACTCACCTGGTCCACGTCACCACTACCTCCCCTTTCTTCCTGATTACATTCTTAGCAGACAGGCTGCTAGGGGACCCCTGGGGTACTGCAATTTTGGAGTGTTTTTCTTTGGAGGATTTTGACCTTTTCTTATGCCTAGACTTGGAATGTTTATCTTGAGATTTCTTGACTTTTTGGCGCTTTGCCTTTGGTGCTGATCTGTGCTCCTTGCGTTTCCTTGACACCCTTTCGGATTCAGACTCTGGTGCACTTGAGCTCTGAATGGCGCTCTTTACTTTTCCTGACACCACCTCTGATGTTTCACTCGTTGTTGCACTACTTTCCTCATGCGCGGTAACACATGCTTCTCTGGAAACACGCTCTGCATTGTTGCGGGATAAGTTGTCATCACGAACACCTTCAGATGAGGATTTTTGGCTTGACTGTTGAGCTTCTATTGCTTTATCTGAAATGTGACAGGACTCATTTACTATAGCTAGGATTTTGTTCGATGTCTCTCCAGGTGTGGAACCCAGGTCTTCATGGGTCAGAGTGAGATTAGGCTTGAGAAATGGCTCTTGACATTCGGCTAATTCTGGTGCTGCTTTCCCTTCATTTCGATTACTTTCAAATGGGCCAGATGATGTTCGTCTTATTCGCACGATGAAATGATCATTTGACCTCTCCATTACCACAGCCTGCATTGGTAAATTGGGCTGGAATTGGAAACCAGGTGAATCAGAGGCCTCCCATGTCCTGCTGGGACTCGACCCACAACTAGAGTTGTCAGTGTCCAGAGAAAGGTGTATGTCCTGCTCAGTGGCATCTTCTCCATCAAGAAGAGCGTCTTCACTATAATGGGCACTCAGGACACTGTTTGGGGCAGACAGTGGCTGTCCAGTTCCAGGGTGCAAGAAACTCAAGTGACTATCTGACTTTAGTGGTGAGGGAATGGTAAGGGACACGGCTAGATCTTCTGCCAAGATAGAGTATGATTTCTGAGGTATTACAGTTGACTGAAGTAAAAGCTGGCATGGTTCAGAATTAGAGGGAACTTCTAACAAGCAGCTCTCATCGAGAATGGCTGGGTTTACCAGCATTTTGTTATTCGAAGCAAACTTGTAGGGGGAAATGGAAGGCCAGGATGTGATGAATTTAGATGGGGTTGTCTTATTGGGGGTCATAATCCCAATCAAACTCTCCCCTGGAAGTCCTTCCTTTCGAGGTGTGCTGAGTGGCCAACTTGTATTGTCGCCTATGGGAACACTGGATTCAAGCAAATCAGACCCTTGCAAAAGACACTTGAATATCTCTCCCATTTGAGAGTCGGAGACCAAGTTGAAGGTTAAGCTTGTTGTTTGCTGCTCAGTGAGAATTTCAAAGTCTGACTTATCCTGAATCGATCCATTATGGGAGAGACGTCGGACATAGGAAGAGATTCTAGTCTCAGATCCAGAGGTGCCTTCGTAGACAGACCTTTCAGAGGACGAAGTAGGAAGCTGATGTGATGTTGCCACATTTGCCGGCTGATCATCTTCATTCATGACAGCTTTTATGTTTTTACCCCTGCTCCCAAGGCCCCTGCAAGGGAGATTATTTGGAGGGGCCTCTCTGACAAAACTTCCTGTGTCAACTTTTGACATCTTGGCCCTGTGAAGATGCCCCGATGTGTTAAAAGGTTCTTTTTCCACCACTTCACTTTCAATCTCTTTTCTTTTAAGAGTTGCAATTTTATTTTCATATGATGCATTCTTTGATGGCTCAGATCCACTTTTGAGTGCTGTGTTCAGTTCCTTGAACAGGAATTCAAACTGCCCATCCACAAATGTCCACAACTTCTGCTTGAGGTCTCCAGCTCTTTGCTCAAAGATACGATTGACGATGCCATTCTTGGTAATCTTGCTCATGATAGATGAAATAATTTTATTAAGTCTAACTTTGATGTCATTACCTTGGTAGCACAATTTATCCAAGTCAACAGCATTGATAAATTCTATAAAAGAAGCCTGAGACATATCCACAATACAGCAGAAGGCAGTTTTAGTGACATTTTTCTGAAGCTTCATGTACTTTTTCCTCAACTCAACTCGAATAGATCCTAACATGTCCATAAATCCGTCTATGGTATAGACTGCTGCTTTCAATGATGGGCTGACAGTTTTAAAGCGTCTTTTACTTGAGGTGGGACTGTCGTTAGAAGCAGATGACTTTGAACTCTTGCTTCGCTCTGTATATTTAGCAGGGATGCAAGATTTATTTTGGGACACTCTTTTCCCAACTGCAGATAGCTTTGGACTTGAATCAGTCCCTGAGGTTGATTTGTCCTTTTCTTTTGGAGTAGTCTGTATATACAGAGGTCCCTCTTCTTCACTCTCACTCACTATCTCACCATCCTCTAGCTCATCTTCCTCAGTTCCACTAGCTGAGAGGGCATCTTTTGTCCCTTTGTAGGGCGGAGCTGTGACAGATGAGTCAGGTGATTTATTCTCCTTGTTCATGTCCATATTCACTTCATCCTTATCACAGGCAGTTGTTACAGTTGAGAGATCTTGGGGGAAAAAAACACAAATTAAAATGAGCAAGTTGTACACATATAAACCTGTTGGGACAATTCATGCAAACATGCATTTCAATCAAATGTTTATAAGAAAAATAATGCTATTCAGGACATTATGGGAAGCTTACAATATTAATCAATATTAAACCAAGCCATATTTCCAAAACAAAGCCATATTAAAGCCACAAAGAGTGTGTTAAAAATGTAAATGATTGGATGACCAATAATTTTCTCTTATTAAATTAGGATAAGAGATGCTACTTATTGGACCAAAAGACAGTACACAGAATCTCTTGGATTACAATTTGCAACTAGACGGATGTACTGTTACTTCCTCTACAGTCAAAATACAAAAATCTGGGTGTTCTATTAGATAGCAACTTGTCTTTTGAAAATCATATTTCCCATGTTACAAAAACATAATTCTTTCATCTTAGAAACATCATCTCATCTTTCATCTTATCTGTTTCTGATGCAGAAAAGCTAGTTCATGCATTCATGACCCCTAGACTGGACTATTGTAATGCACTGCTGGGTGGTTGTCCTGCATCTTCAATAAACAAGCTACAGGTAGTCCAAAATGCAGCGGCTAGAGTCCTTACCAGGTCAAGAAAATATGATCATATTACCCCAATTTTACAGTCCCTGCACTGGCTACCTATTATGGTCCGTATCAGTTACAAAATATTATTACTTGCCTATAAGGACCTTAATGGGTTAGCTCCTGCGTACCTAACTAGTCTTCTACCACGCTACAATCCATCACGCTCCCTAAGGTCGCAAAATTCTGGACTTTTGGTAGTACCTAGGATAGCAAAGTCCACTAAAGGAGGTAGAGCTTTTTCGCATTTGGCTCCCAAACTCTGGAATAGCCTTCCTGATAACGTTCGGGATTCAGACACACTGTCTCTGTTTAAATCTAGATTAAAGACACATATCTTTGGCCAAGCATTCAAATAATGCATCTCATAAACTTGTACTGCAGTTATATCTGATCAAATGCACATTATTAATCTTTAGCTTGGGTTAAACAAATCAATTTTGCTTGGTTGGAACAGCAGCTATGCTAATTATGTCTCTATTTGTTTCTCCGTTTTTGTCATGGGATACTAGGATTTACACAAGCTTCAGTCTTGATCTAGAACACCTGAGAAGAGATGATGCCAACCCCTCAGAGGACCTCAGATGATGCCAACCCTGAAACAACATACAGAACTACCAAATTTTGCTATAAGTTTGATTGCATCATATAATAATTGCTGTTAATAGTGTTCATTGTCTGTTTGATTACGTCTTTAATTGATTAAGTCTTTAATTGATTTTCCGTACATTTCTGTCATATGTACATTAACTGACAGTCACCACTGATAAGCTATCACTAAATATTGTAGAAACTTAATTTGCAACGATTTGTATCGTGAAAAGCGCTATACAAATAAACTTGAATTGAATATTTTTGACGAAAAAGAAACATGTACCTTTGTTAAGACTTTTGACATGTGGTTGCTTCTCAGCACGCTGAGGCTGTACTTTCTTCACCTGACGGACTGGGCTTGTAAGAGGGCTGATGGGCTCTGGAATAACTTTGATGTTCCTAAGAGTAAGCATCATGGAGTCTTCATCAGGGCAAAACAAAACCGGGTTTGATGACTTTGTGTTCTGTTCCTCTTTCTCTGTGGAATCTGGCTCTGAGAAACCAGATTGTGAAGATGACATGGTCTTCTCTCCAACAGTGGTGCTATCATTTGGAGCTGTATTGTTTTCACCCCATAATGGACTTTGATGGGATTTTTCAGACAATTTCAGATTTTCATACGAGTGCGGTGTTTCAATCATTTTTGAATTTTCAATTGCTTCCTCTGCTCCCTTACTGTCCTGTTCTGAAGTATCCACTCGTTCAAAATCACAAATAACTTTGCTTGGCTCATAAAAATCTGCAGTAATTGTGCTAGAGGAAACTTCCATGTTGACAGAACTATCAGAAATCGTAGAAGAATTAATCTTAGGAATACTTTGTGCCTTGTCTGAGGATGACACATCATCTTGACATATCCCATTTGATCCTGGTGGTAAATCCTGAGACTTGATCTGAGGACTGCTTTGGATTTCCACAGATACATTGGTAAAAGGATCTTGTTGCTGATAACCTTCAACTATTGAATCTGGAATATTATCTGAAACTGCCGCTTCTGAAGTTTTAGTAGGCAAAGTATTAGAGACAACAGAATTATCCATAATTCCCGGGGAGTCTTCAGTGCCGTTATGACAGGCACGATTTGGAGATTCTCTTGTAAGGGTTAATTTTGATAATGAATCTTTGTCTAACACATTGGATTCTGAAATCTTGGTCTTTTTCTCCTCTGCGCTTTTAACAATGGCTGGCACTTTGTCCACAGCCTCTTGACTTTTGGTGGCATTCTCTTCTTGTACATCTATATCGGTTTGTTCACCTGAGGGCTTCTCGGAGACTACAGCTGTGAAAAGATCAACAACTTGTCCAGACTGTTTGCAAGAACTGGTAAGGTCTTCTTTTTTACCTGGAGCTGTGGGCACAGGGTCCTCATCCTCTTGCTCAACATTGTCCTGGCTGTCCTTTAATTCATCTATGACAAAGAACTCCTCCCCAGGATCAGATAATCTGCTGTTTTCAGGTTGGGCATTTTCAGATGTTGCTCCACTGGCTTCTCTGGGATCAGAGGACTGCTTTTGTTTTTTTAGAGGCGATAGGGTAAGATTCAGTGTTTCCATGAAACTCAGTTTTCTGTTCGGACTATTATCCTCAGTTGTTTTGCAGGGATTGCTGCTGACAGCTACCATTGATGGTGACTCAGTTTCAAGGTGTCTGTCTTGCTCATTCTTACTATCTTGACCTTTTCCGACAACATTGTGCTTTTTAGGAGAGTTCTTTCTATTATCTTTGGTAAGAGCAATTTTTGATGCTCTATGCTTATGTACCCTATGCTCCAAATGTCCACCTTTTTTTCTTTCTCTGTCCTTGTCTATACCCTTGTCTCCAAAACAATTCTTATCAGAATTTCCATTTTTGACAGGGCATTTTAAATCCTCCATCTTTCTAGCTTTATCATAGCTGTGAGACCCTTTGCTTTTTGATGATTTCTCCTTATAAACATCCTTGCGTTGAAGATCACATTTGGGAGAAGAAAAAGCTTGCTCACAAGCATCAACTTGTTTCTTAGATCTTTTATCTTCAGCTTTATTATCCATTTCCCACACACTCCTTCGCTCATACTCCTTTCTACTGTCTGATCTGTTGCTTCTTTCTTTACTACTACTGCTGCTGCTACCCTCATTTATTTTACTCCTGTCACTTTCCTTCGGCCTCTTTTGCTCATGGTCTCTGCTTCTTTCAGTTCTGCTGCTCCTCCTTTCTGCACTGGAACTTTTCTCCTTTTTCCTTTCATGGCCACTTGCATCTCTTTTCTTCCCTTTGTGGTTTTGGGAATGGCTTGCTTCATCCACCACAGTACAAGTTGTGCAGCTCAAGCCAGAGGGTTTTGTTTCTCTGCTAGTTCTGTCTGCATTTTGATTATGCATGTGCCCTTGAGTCCGTTTCTCTACATCTGCCGCTGTCTTAACTGAACTTTTGGATGACTGGGAAGAGACAGATGGTGAGGCTTTGTGTGACTGCGAGGAAGGGCTTTTCGACTGTTCTGAACTTTTAAGAATGACTGGAACCTCAGGCTGCTGATTCCTGTTTTCATTGGACACAGAACTATCTTTTATGAGCTCCTTTTCAGTTCTTCCTGACTTGCTGTTCACTCTTCTCTGAGACTTTTGTGACACATTCTTATCCTTCGAGTTACACTCCTTGTCCCGGCTTGTACATTTTTGTGTTTTTTCTAGCTTGTCTGCTTGTTTTGATGGACTGTTCTTATTGTCCTTCAAACTACAATCAGTAGTTGTATCGGAAACTCTCAGTGCAGAGTCATTCGTTTTGAGAGCATTTGAGACATCTGCCACTGTCGATGTGGTGGGATTTTTTACAATCCCTGATGTTCTGTTAGGATGAACAGGTGCGTACACCTGCTCTGGTTGAACAGTGAGGGTCTGAGAACAGTGAATAGTTTTACTGTCAGATTTAGCAGCCAATTTATTCTGGCACTGCAGAGGACTATCAAGATCAGTTCTAGGGCATCTCTGGAGCACTTCAAATGGTTGTGGTGCTGTAGTTGACGTTGTTGGTGGATATGTACAGTGATCCGACACAGAGTTTCTACCTTTGTGCTGATTTACTTCATTCAAAATATTATCTTGTCTAGAACCTTGTGATTTCAAAACAGAACTTGTAGAATTGTTCAAACTGGGCCTTGTGTTTGCCGGACCACTTTCCATTTGAGATCGACGAACATTTTGACCATAACTTCCTCGACCAGACCTGTGATGACAACACACAAAAACAGGGAAGTGAGTTTTATATGAAACAATCCAATCCTGACACAAGCCAGGTTTTGCACCAAACATCTGTTTGCTGATCTTAGAACCAGAGCTGGAGTTTTTACCTATTACTGAGTCTGCTAATTTCCTCATCCTTACGCACAATCTCCATTCTAGCCGTCTTGATGAGAGAACAAATGTTCTTCTTCAGGAGTATGTTTTCACTGTTCAAACTGGAATTCTTTAAATATAAAAAGTGCAAAAAACTGTTTATTCCAAGATTATAACTAATTTGTGGTGGTATTTATTCAGCATCAATGTATAACAGAACAACCATTAAAAGGAAACACACCTTTGTCTGCAGTAGCTGTAACTGTGAGAACAGTTCCTTAACTTGCTTTTGTGCTTCATCAAATTTTTGCTTTAACTGTAATAAAAGATAAATACAACATAACTTTTCTGTCCATTTCTTCACTTTTAAATGCAAAACCAAAACAATAGCATGCCATGCAACCATATTCAAAGCTCAAGTCACATACCTCATTATAGGTTGCTTCCTTTTCTTCTTGTTCTTCCCTGATAATGTCCTCATATATATCCATTGATTCCATTGTGTGTGGGGAAAGGAGTGGGTTGACTTTACCTAATTAAAAAAAAGGACACTACAATAATTACTATATATTAAAGTTTTATCCTGCTATTTCTCTGATACACATACATCAACAAATTACTTTCAATAAAAACTATGTGCTGTAACCAATTCAAGACTCATTAATGAAACCCACCTCTGTGCCCATCAATCTTAGGGCTGTTTTCCAGGCCAGAGTATACCGAATCCTCAATGTGATGCAGAGCACCTGTAACAAACACTGATATGTCATAATGCAACAACAACTCCAGCATATACACTTGCCCAATACATATAGATTATGTTTTCAGAGCTTTGAAAGCCTTGAACCAGTTAAGACAAAAGATTGGGGAATAGAACAAAAGAGGTAAATAAAACAGCATTATCTTGATTAAATCACATACAGATCAAATTACAGAACAACCATTAAAAGGAAACACACCTTTGTCTGCAGTAGCTGTAACTGTGAGAACAGTTCCTTAACTTGCTTTTGTGCTTCATCAAATTTTTGCTTTAACTGTAATAAAAGATAAATACAACATAACTTTTCTGTCCATTTCTTCACTTTTAAATGCAAAACCAAAACAATAGCATGCCATGCAACCATATTCAAAGCTCAAGTCACATACCTCATTATAGGTTGCTTCCTTTTCTTCTTGTTCTTCCCTGATAATGTCCTCATATATATCCATTGATTCCATTGTGTGTGGGGAAAGGAGTGGGTTGACTTTACCTAATTTAAAAAAAAAAGGACACTACAATAATTACTATATATTAAAGTTTTATCCTGCTATTTCTCTGATACACATACATCAACAAATTACTTTCAATAAAAACTATGTGCTGTAATCAATTCAAGACTCATTAATGAAACCCACCTCTGTGCCCATCAATCTTAGGGCTGTTTTCCAGGCCAGAGTATACCGAGTCCTCAATGTGATGCAGAGCACCTGTAACAAACACAAACACTGATATGTCATAATGCAACAACAACTCCAGCATATACACTTGCCCAATACATATAGATTATGTTTTCAGAGCTTTGAAAGCCTTGAACCAGTTAAGACAAAAGATTGGGGAATAGAACAAAAGAGGTAAATAAAACAGCATTATCTTGATTAAATCACATACAGATCAAATTACACACGATAAGCGAATATCAGATGGCACACTCCGGTGTGCTAAATGTAACCAGGCATTAATGTGATCATTGGCGACCTCAATTTCAAGTGCAGCTGTTGTGATGCTCATGCATCTCATGCATTTATCTACATTTGGTTGATTCTGCATGACTTGCCTTTGATCTCATGAAACTGTTGAGGAATTATTGAAGAAAGCTGAATATCTGCTAGAATAATAATGTGTTCTTTTTAAAAGCATTTCTTGTGGATTACTTTTAAAATCAACTTACAGTATAAAATAGTGATAAAGGCTTAAGTAAATACTAGATAATAACGTTAGGTGCAATACAGTAACACTCTACTGATCCTACCTGAACACTGCATGTTAACAATGTGAAAATAAAGAAACGTCTGTTGCACGGGAGAGAAAGGCTGTCTTACCAAAAGGCTTGTCATCAAGATCTCCATAAAGTTCATCCATTAAATCCATTTGAGTCAGCTACCGAAAGATAATAAATAGCACAGTAAGTTCCTGAAAACAGTGAAATACCAGCAGCAGTGGGCATGTGTCAGTTCAACTTCACCACTTCCTGCCATGTAGTGAAGAAACACCGTACTCAAATAGTCACTTAAACCTGATACTAAAAGAACAAAAGAATCAACTTAATATTAAGCTGGAGAAGAATTAAACCACCCAACAATTCCACTATAATTCTTACACAAACGACGCTTGTGCTATCGTGGATTTGCACAAACTCCGACGAATTAAAGCGACCAAAATACATTATTCCTATAGTATGTTCACAAAGTGAAATCAAAGGACAGTATATGAACAATACCTGTGAGCTAACGACAACAGGCGGATATATAACTGTAAGATGAGCCAAACACCACAGAGCGGACTTCAGGATCTGACACCCATGCTAATACGCGGGTAACTTATAATGACATGTACAGTTAATGAGCAATTCCCAATGTTCTTGTAGACAGCGTTTTAAAATGTTCTCCTAGCATACTTCCACCAGCTCCGCGCCAACCCTTCACCACACACGTTCGCCAAACAGGAAGTGACATCATTTTCCCGCGGTCTCTTCTCTTCTAAAAGAATGTCATTAAATTACGTTTAAGATTGCCTATTAAAAACAGTAAAAAATAATGAAATATTTATAATGTTAAGATTTATTTTCTTAGCTACATTTCACATTCCTATGCAATTGCTCGCATATTTCTAGACTTTTAAATACACATAATCTAGTTTTGGTACTTGTATGGATATGCTATAACACCGTTTTCGATTGCTCAATTTTTCAGTACTGGTATGCTGTGTTTATTGTATTTTATATGTATGTGTATGTCGTTTCTTCTGGGGATTTATAAATGACAATATGAGACGATTTTTAAAACCTTTTTTACGTTTCAGTCGAATTGATTAATTTGATTCTAGCAGTGCATATTATTCTAAAATGATGTAGCAGAAAATAATTTGATCATCATAGTTTATTGCTGGCCAAGTATTTCTACAGATTGCAACCATTTTAAAGCTTAAATCCAAGTACTGTTAAGAAAACATCCTCCAGAGCTTGTGTCATTGCCAAAGATTACCTACACTTAACTCATTGACAAAAACGTATCTGGGCCTCATAAATGTGATTAATGTAATGTACAGCTCTGTGAATTGACCAAATATGCTAAAGTCTATACACGTTTTGAGGAGCAGCTGTGACACACACTGAATAGTGCAGTCAATGAACAAAAACATATTCGTTACATGTTTAAGCGTTTCTTGCTAAACATTTAACAAAAACAAATCGACAGCATGTTTTGTAGCACAGGGAGCGTGAGCTCTCAGCGCCGCAACGCAGTCGAATGACCCGGAAGTGCTCTTCAATTACTCACATGTGGACAGGGATTTTAATACCGACGGGAACGTGCTCGCTGTGTTGTGACACAACCTAGACAGCCAAGCGAGTGATAAATCTTATGGTTCCCATCACGTAGAATACTTGGAATATTAAAGCCTTGAGCAGCCGCAGAGGCATCGTCGGAAATCCCTATATTCACGACAAATGATAGAATGGAAAACCTGGAGTTGAGCCTGACATCTCTAGGTGCAATCTCAAGACATATCGATAAAAGTCACAACGAACTCAGCAAGTATCTCACAAAACAGGTAAGTCAGCATGATCTGAGCACTTTGTAAGACCGTTATAAGAGGCTTTCATCTGTTTAGCACATGCGGAGTACAGCGTGTGTGTCACACCACACTGTCCCACGTTTCTGTAGTTCACATGCTGCTCATTGGTGCTTTATACAGAGGTTATGGCTTCAATTCATTCGTTTCAATAATAACTGTCATTTAAGTGTTCTGCATATTAGTCTATTTGGGAATCCAGTCCTGTTTTGTGTGTTTGATGTTTTATTTTGGTCCTGTTGCAACATAGTTTCAGTAGTTTGGGTTGTTGAAAAATGCAATCAGTGTTTAATATTTTGACTGATATACAATGTACAATATAAAAGAGACACGGTTTACTTTTGCAGTCATGACCATTATTCACTGAAACTGGTGTGAATGTGAACCAGTTTATAAAAAACGTACTGGAATATCTATCATACTTCGGAACCAATCCAAAAGTATCCATTTTTTAAAATCCACATTTTCTAATAGGAGTCCAACATAAAACACAACAAAATGAGATTTTGTATCACATAGGTTTGTGATGACTGCTAATGGTATAAAATATTCCTGTAAGACAAAAAATATAGCGGAAATATTCCAGGATTTTAATACACCTACAACTTGTCCTGTGATCATCATCATTAATAATAAAATTTGTAATAGACATTATTTCAATAAGAACAATTGAGATCTAATATCCAAATACGACTCAATGAATTAACGATAATGAAATAAAGTATATATTCAGCAGGATATTATTATTATTATTATTATTATCATTATATTGTATTATTTATTTATTGTTTTGACTGGCATACATTTTTTTGCTTGTAGATATGGAGTCAGCAGGACAGGCAGTGTATACTGGAATGTCTTGTGCAGCTCCTGTTGGTGAAGGAATACACTCTCCTCATTGCTCGTCACTTACGGCCACTGGTCCTGGACCTGTTGGAGAGGAATGCTGAGAGGATCAAAGTAGACGTCAGGCTGAATCATGACCTCCATGAGCGCTTGTGTGTGGCTCTAAGCAAACTTCTCAACATCAGTCCAGATGCTCAAGCGTAAGTAACCAATTTAGGATTTCATGTAAAATATATTCGCAAGAGGTTTCCCATAGTCTTGGAAAACCTGGAAATATCAGTTCATTTTAAAACATGGAAAATGGATATACAGTTGGAAAAGTTATGGAAGATCCTCGTGTGTATTTATCTGTTTGTGAGCAAATCTTTTGAGTCAATAAATCTGTCAAATCAATTCAGTCGTTGGCAATTTGGTCTGAATTTGAATGATTTTAAAAACATAAATCATTTTTAAAGGTCATGGAAATTTGTTAGTCAAAAAGTGTTGGAACCCTGACACAGGTTATGTTATTACCACTTCAGAACAAATGTCCAATATGTCATGATCAGATTTGAATTGTTTTCTCACAGGTTTGCAGCGAGGTATTTTAGCAGCTCTCCCCCAGTATTTCAGAGGCTCTTCTTCACCAGCGAAGAGGCTGCCTCCATCCAGTATGGGCCCAGAAGGATGAAATTACGGGACCTGATGGGGGCCACCCTCCGTTTTCTCCAAAGCGATTGTGAGAAGTTCCGTGTCCTGTGGGACTGGAGTGCCTGTGTTTCACAGCTTCTCACCAGTGACGTCATGGTCAGAAGGTATTGCTAATTTGTAGATCAGACACAGCTCAGAAATTCACCAGAACTTTTCATAATATCCTCAAACTATATCTTTGCACTTTCTATTTCTTTTTGCTGTGTTTTTTAAGCTACACTGCCCAGTGCCTTGCCCTGGTATCCCACATGACAGATAACCAGAAAACAATATTTTTGAGGAAGGTGCTTTCGAGTGAAGAGATTCTGCATCTGAAAATGAAGTAAGTTTCATTATCTTTTATTTTATGGTGATTTTTATCACCTTGTATTAATTGTTCAGAATTTAGTCAATAGTATTAACTCACAAACAAGTAATACTATTGTTTGTAGGTCACTTGAGGAGACACAGCAGCTGGAAGTAGAAAAAGCTCTGGTTTTGGCCAATCAGGGCTCAGCAATATGGCGGAAAGAGAGGGTAAATAAGGTCACCCGTGGTCAAGTGGTGACAGAAGACCTGACGCGGAGCGTTACTGTGGTGTGTGGGGTGATTCTACCTAGACAGACCCCTCGACAGGATGAACAGGCAAGACAAAAATACAAAAACAGAATATTAAGCTTATTAAAAAAAGCCAGATTTAATATAACTAGTATAAATATAAAATCAGTTGTATTTTTTCCCAATACCTCTATTAGTGTAATTTGGGAGAATGAGCATGTATTGTAATGTCACTAATTCTTCTGTAATTCTCAGACAAATTTAAGCAGTTTGGTGCTAGTGGATTCAACCTGTCAAAATCTTCGGCGACTTGCCATGGCTGTGGCATCCCAGAAGCCTATTCTTTTGGAAGGGCCAATTGGATGTGGAAAAACTGCTCTTGTTGAATATCTTGCTGCTGTCACTGGGCATGTTAAAGCCCCTGATATCCTTAAAGTTCAGCTTGGAGATCAGACCGACAGTAAGGTGAGATTTGCTTGACTTTTAAAATATTCTAGTATTCTTTCCATTTGTTTTCATTTTGCTGCTCATAGCTTTACCATACTTTCAGTTTATCTGCTGTTGAAGGGATAGTTCACCCAAAAATGAAAATTACCCCATGATTTACTCACCCTCAAGCCATCCAAAACCAGTCTTAAGTTGCTGGGGTATATTTGTAGCAATAGCCAAAAATACATTGTATGGGTCAAAATTATTGATTTTTCTTTTATGCCAAAAATCATTAGGATATTAAGTAAAGATCATGTTCCATGAAGATATTTTGTAAATTTCCTATTGTAAATATATCAAAACATAATTTTTGATTAGTAATATGCATTGCTAAGAACTTCATTTGGACAAATTTAAAGGTGATTTTCTCAATATTTGTATTTTTTTTGCACCCTCAGATTCCAGATTTTCAAATAGTTGAATCTCTGCCAAATATTGTCCTATCCTAACAACCATACATCAATGGAAAGCTTATTTATTCAGCTTTCGGATGATGTATAAATCTCAATTTCGAAAAATTGATCCTTATGACTGGTTTTGTGGTCCACTTTCTTCTTTCAGACGAATACAACCGGAGTTTTATTTAAAAATGTCCTGTCTCTTCCAAGCTTTATAATGGCAGTGAATGGGTGTTATTATTCAGTAGTCCAATAGAAGTCCAATAAACTGCGTCCATCCATCATAAAAAGTGCCCCACACAGCCCTGGGGGTTAATAAAGGCATCCTGAAGCGAGAAACAATGTGTTTTTGAAAGAAAAATATAAATTTTTAGAACTTTATAAAAAGTAATCTCTAGCTTCCGCTAACTGTTGTACGCGCGTTCACAATAGAAGGCCGTTCCTGCAGATGACGTAGGACGTATGGATATTTTTCTTTAAAAAATGCATTGATTTGCTTCAGGAGGCCTTTATTCACCCCCCAGAGCCGTGTGGGACACTTTTTTATGATGGATTTATGCACTTTATTGGACTACTTTTGGACTATTGAAAAATAACACCCATTCACTGCCATTATAAAGTTTGGAAGAGCCAGGACATTTTTTATATAACTGATTGGATTTGTCTGAAAGAAAAATGTCAACAATTCTGTGTTTTTCTGTCAATATGGGGTGCTGTGTGTACATTAATGAGGAAAAAAAATTAACTTAAATGATTTTAGCAAATGGCTGCAATATAACAAAGAGTGAAAAATTTAAGGGGGTCTGAATACTTTCCGTACCCACTGTATACACTTTTATTAATATTGCCTTGAGGGTGAGTAAATCACAGTAATTTTCATTTTTGGGTGAACTATCCCT